AACAGGGAGCTTAAGACACTCTTGCTCATACATTTTTGCAGCAAATAAACTTTCCATTGGTTGAGGCAGTATACTTTCAAAGTTCATACCAATAGGAATCTGTCCAGCCCTCTGCTGATTCATTCCTGGGCTTGTCATCATAGGAAAGACATTTTGTAGCTCATTAGGAATCTGTCCAGCCCTCTGCTGATTCAGTCCTGGGCTTGTCATCATAGGAAAGATATTTTGTAGCTCATTAGGAATCTGTCCAGCCCTCTGCTGATTCATTCCTGGGCTTGTCATCATAGGAAAGACATTTTGTAGCTCGTCCCCCATCATTTGAGAAGCCTGAGAATTAAAAGAAGCACGTATGAAATGCATTATCTTACAAACCCGAGCACTATACAACAGCACTTCAAAGGTTATCAGAGAACACCTTAACAGAGGATTCTTCCCCAGCCTCTTGATGGCTTGGTAGCCTAGAGGAATATACCTCCCAGAATACTGACCACCATTCAGTCAAAAAACCTTCAGGAGAACTAAGCACTAGAACAAAAACCCAATGCAAATTATATTGTCAGACTGCATATAGCAACTTTGGTAAAATCCTATAATGAGAATAATCATAAATGTATCATCCCAATCAAATATGTCATTACCAAATATTTGAAGTGCATTCCAATTACTTTGAAAGTAACTGCATTAGTGATCAATAATACAGTTGCTATACTCGAGTAGACACATTAGAAGAACAATGTGGCATGTTTGGACTCAAAAACAGCACAAAAACCTTCATGCAGTGTACAAAACTTCCCCAATTAATCAAAGGAATAAAAAAAAATCTGAATTAGCATGGGCCGGCTCAATGGTAAAGCCATTGAAGCCGCTGCTTTAGGCCCCCCCGAATGATTAGGGCCCCATTTTATGGAGGTTTAATTAAGTCTAATGTTTAAATAAAATTTTTAGATATATATTCAATTAAGTTCAATTTTATTTTAGATTTTTTAGTATCTCAAAAAAATAAAATTTAGAGTTTTTTAGATTTAATTTGAGTTTGTTGAGCATTTGATTATGTTGTTAACAACAACATAAAAAACCATTTGAGTCTATTATATTTAGCTTAAGTTTTATTAATTATAATTTTGTTTCTTTTAATTGATTATATTAACATTATATCCAATAAAATTCTATTTTACCGTTAAATCAGGTATCACGCTTTGTTCGAATTAATTATACTATCTATTGAAAAAATATGTTAACAAAACTTAAATACAAAAATCCAATAATTATTTTCATATCTCAAAAGACAATAATATAAATAATACTTAATAATAATATAAATTTTACTTTAAAAATTAATAGGGCCTCATTTTGTGTTGAGCTGCCCCTGCATGAACCACATGGCCCACAACACATCTTGAAGACATTTGTTCTACCCGAGTGGAATTCAATCAATACATCCATTTCTGTTCCTTTCTTGTTCTTGAATACAGGAGGGGAAATGCATGGAATCAAGACCCATCAATATTAAACAACAAACTCATAATATTAATTAAAAAAAACCATTAATGGTTGTAATTTACTGTCTTAATCCTTCACAATCATTAGATTAGTTGCGGATATCAATAAATACTGAGACTCTCTATTAATCCAATGGATATGAGTGATCAGGCAAACAAATTAATCCATCACAACCATTAGATTAGTTGTGGATGCCAATAAATACCGAGATCCACTGTTAATCTAATGGTTGATAAGGATAACAAATTAAGCCAATAAATTGGGTCGAATACTTCTTCCGTAGATACATCTATATCATTGAGGAAAATCAAGCAACATAACAAAATGTGATCAAGAAGAGATACCAGCTGGATTTGGAGGAACACCAGCCTCATTGGCGAAAATCTCAGCAGTTTCGTGCATGTTGTTTCTCTTCATGTAATCAAGAATGTAAAGGTCAAGCCTGAAAACCCCAAATCAAACAAAACAAAACAAAAAAAAAACCCCAAGAAATTAGCATTTGTTGGAAGCAAAAAAAAAAAAAAACCCATTGAAATATATAAAAACTCACATCTTCTGAGGGTCCCACGATTCCATGATCACCAAAACCAACTTCACTTTGCTGAGTAAGAAGAAATGCAGAGAACCGAAGTGAGTTTTCAGACTTAAAAGTGAAGAAGTTCAATGAAAAAAAACATAACCCAGGTGAAAATTAATTGTTAGAAGTAATCAAAAGCTAAAAACCCACATGTGCTTTGACAAGATACACACGCATAGAGAGTGATAAGCAAGAGAAAAGTGCGAAAGAGAAGAGGGGGAAAGGGAAGGGGATACCTTCGTTTGCTGAGAGGTAAGTTAGTGCCATGCAAAAGAAAAACGGAAGAAAAAGAACAAACGACAAACCTGGTTTTCGTACAGAGAGAGATAGAAGCAGAGAGAGAGTGAGTGAGTTAGAGCTGAAGCATTATATAGTAGTGGACTTGTGGGATAACAACACCTTAAAAGGGTGTAGTGTGAAAAGAAAAGACCGGGTTGAGATCTTTCGAGGGTTGTCAATTTTAAAATTAATTAAAAGTAATATAATTAATAAATATATATATATATATATATATATATATATATATATATATAACAATAATTAATATATATATATAAAATAAAATAAATTAATATTTAACATGGGTAATATAATAAATATTTTTTTTGTAAATATTAAAGCAGATATGATATGAATTATAATAACATGACACTTGAATATTTAGATCATTTATAAATATAAATTAAGTCGAATCTCAACTTTTTCGTAATTGTATATGCATGAAAGAATTAAAAATTACTAAATTCCTCATTTTACATTTAAGTGAATTTTAAATAATAATCAAAATAAATAAGAGGGAAAAATAATTATTAAGTTTTTAAAAAAAATTTACGTCAAAAATGTAGTCGTCTTTTTGCGCTTGTAACGCCCGTTACGAAAATTGAAGGAAAAGCACTTTTATTTAAGTTTGGGAATACCAAGTTTTAAAGTAAAATGAGACAAATCCATTTTACTTTTTTAGTTGACAAGGAGACAAAGATTGGTTCCAAGGTTTGTCCCTATTGTCAAAATGACAAAACCTCAGTAAATTGGAGTTTCATTATTTTAAGGAAACGTAAAGAGATTATGATAATCCAACTCTATTTTTTTCCCTCCATAAAATATAAGTACACTGTTTCTGCATCAGTTACAAAAACAAAAAGAAGGAAGATTACGTTACAGAAATCGATACCATACTAAAATTTATCATTTTTTTGGATTAAATTACACATTTTAAAGGTGAAGATACTGATCAATATTCGTAGTGTATCGTAACATTTAATGATCGATCATAAAGTTAACTCAAACGATTGCAACTTCACCTTTAAAGGGCTATTTATTTGATGTGCTTGAGTTAAAAAAGGAATAGATACTCGACTTAATGATTATACTAAGTTAGCATTAGTATGCCTAGTAAACGAATTAATAGTTGAACTCAGATGTCTTGAGTTCGAATCTTGACAATCCCTTGTGGTTAGTGGGTGGGTTCACGTAAAATAGTCCAATGAACCATTTAATTTCATATTTGGTTAGGACTTTTAAACTCGTCATTCATATCTCGGCTCGTAATTTGTCGAAAAAATAAAACCCATGAATATGAGTTTGAACAAAACCAACCAACTTAGGATATAATATTAAAATGACTTTTCTACTCCGAATAAATTTAGTCAATTACATGATAAATATTTAGTTATTATTGTGTTTAATTTGTGGGTCCCACATATTTATGCTACTTACCTAACAAAAGTTTTGAGATAATTTATGTATGAATTTCATGTACAAAAGGAGGGAGGGAGGCTTTGGGTTAGATGCAATCGCTCAATTTTAAAATCATCCAAAAGTAATAATTTTCGGTATAAGATTGAATTTTTTTTTTTCTTGGTACCGTGAAATTACCCCACAAAAAATAAATGATGGCTTATTGGTACCGTGAAATCAAGTTGTAAAAATGAACTCAAATTAAATGTGAAATGAGATTCACCTATCTCATAATTAACTTACTCAATGTTGTATATATATACATATTAGCTACCATTATTGTTTACTATAGTTGGATATGAGGAAAATCCACATTTAGAAAAAAATCTTATGGCATCAATTTTTTTATTACCAAAATTTGTAGTATATTAATCATGGATTCATGGTTGAATCTAATCTCCAGATTTTCGAATTTAAAGTAAGATAGACATCTATGTAGGATCATTAAAACAATGACTTGCAATTTGTGTGTCAAAATAGGTAGGTTACTAACACTTAATCCAAAGCCATTATTATGTTACAATAATTATATGTCAACATTTTTTTCCTCTTAATATCGAGGAGTTGTCAACGGTACCGAAAAAAAAATTGATATTATACCGATATTTTTTATATTTATAAGCGTTTTTATTATTGTTGTAGTATTGAAGAAAAATTATAAAAATAATTACCACTTCAGTGGTATACATATCTACAAATGTGATAAATCATCTATAAAATTAATAAATTTTTTAATTATAAAATGACCCATGAAAATAATAAAAACACTTGTTAAAATAGTAAATTTTGGAAGTACGGTATCAAATTTTTTTTTTGCATACCGTAGTCAAGTCCTAAATCATTCCAATCACATTTTATTTGGATTCATTGTTGCAAAATAAACTCCAAATACGTGCATCCAGCCATAAAACTATATTCTTTTTGGGTCAACCGTGGATTGGACTTATAACCTTGAGCAATTACATTATTTGATGGTCTCAAATACACTCTTTCAACGGTTATCAACATCCCTCTCAAAATTACTCATATTACACTGTACCTTCATGTATAAGTTATCCTACTTATTCAAAACAATATGACAGTAGTGCAGCACATAAAAATAGGTTTAGTTTTTTTTTTTTGGTCTGAAAAATAGGTTTAGTTCAAGTACAACTCTCAAGGATGTACTGTTTTTATTTTAATACATTAAGATGAGTAAATATTTAATATAAGAGTGATATTATGTTAAAAATTGCAAGGTGAGCATCATTTAGATAATTATTGAATTACACAGAAGAAGAGTGAATAATTATTGACTTATATGAAGGGGTATTTAATATTATGTGAAACAATTACACTACGTCAGTATTGTCATTTTGGTGTAAACTGCTCAATAATAAACAAATAAGAGGGTAAGTGAACTCCACTTTTTGAATATGTGAAGGTTACTATCTTAGATAGAGAGGTGATTATTTGAAGAAGTGTGATCCATTTTGTCCATTTGTTTGTTTATCATTGGGTGATTACACTATGTGATAATTCTGATATAGTGTAATCGTTACACTTACACCTAGTCTTTACTCCTCAAGGGTACACTATTTTTATTTTAATTCATCAACATACAAGTAAATATTCAATGTCAATGATGATATCATGTCAACATTATCACAAGATATCACCAACCAATGATAAACACCAAATGAGTAACATAAATTGCACTTGGGTAGTTATTGGATTACATGGAAGAAAAATGGGCAATTATTGACTTACATGGAAGGGTAGTTGTTAATTTGTGTGAAGGTCCATTTCCTTATTTGTTTGTAAATTATTGGTTAATTAGTTATTACCCGTGTTTGAAAGCATAGAGTAATAAAAAAAATAATTAATAATAAACATATTTGTATTCAAATCTAAAATTAAATCATAAACATAAATGAGAGATAAATTAATTTAAGAACCAGTTGTAGTGGGGGTGAGCGGTGATAGTGGTGGTGGACGGTAGTAATGGTGGTGGGAGACAGTGAGAATTATAGTGGGTGGCGACACCCGTGATGATGGGTGACGATGGCGTGGTGATGGTGGCAGACGTTGTTTAGAACGATGATGGTGGTGGGAGACAATGGGTGCTTTCTGCATGATAGTGTGATGGTGGTGGCGAATAACGGTGGTGGTGATAGGTGTGGTAGGTGTGGGTGACAATGGCTGGCGGTGATGATGGGCAACAATAGTGGTGGTAGGTACCGACAATGGGTGACAGTGGTAGTGTGATGATGGTGGTAGTGATGATAAATATAAAAATGAAATTACGATAATGATAGGTGACAGTGATACACGACGGTGGTAGCAATCGGTGGTGAATGACGTTGATGATTGTGAGGGTGGAAGTGGGGCAATGGCGGTGGTGGTGAGGGTAAGAGTGGGGGTGATGATAGTGGGGATAGTAGTAATGGGGGTGGCGGCAGTGGTGATAGTGGTGGTGGTGGTGATGATGGTTGATGCGGTAAAGGTGGTGGTGGGGTGGCGACGGTGGTGGTGGTGGTTGTTGTGGTAGAGGTGGTGGTGGGGGGGGTCGATGGTGGTTATGGTGGTGATGACGGCAGCAGTGGTGGTAGGGTGGTGGCAGCGACGGTGGCGTTGGTGGTTGTTGTGGTCGAGGTGGTGGAGGGGATGACGACGACAGTGGTGGTGGTGGTGGTGGGGGTGATGGTGGTGGACCGGTAGGGGTGGTGGTGTTAGTAGTGGTGGTGGGGTAGTTCTAAACACTACTTTTTTTTAAAGTACTTATGAGAAATTATAAGTCATAAAAACATTTTTAAAAAGTCACTCCAAAGAGTCCAAACACACATTTAGAGACATATTTTCTTTATTAAATTTGAAGTATTAATATTAGTCGTTGGATTAACTTTAAAATAAAATTTGAAAAGATCTCAACCGCAAAAAGTTAAAATCATTTTATTTATTTTTTAATTTGTATTATATTGTATTGTATTTTATTATATAGATGGTATTACGTGATAATATTAACGTCGTATTACCGTTGTAATAAATATTATCTCAATCAATACAAGTAAGGGTGTCCATGGGCCAGATTATCCATGGGTCCCATTACCTGGGCTGAAAAAATAGTCTCGAAACACGATAGTTGACCCACCTGAGCCCGAGTCCAATCTTTCAAGGAAGCGCTTGGGCGTACCCCAAACCCATTACTTGGCCCGAAAACCCAGCCTAATAGCCCGCTCACAAAAACCTTCCCAAGAATCCGCCTAGCCCGCCAACACTTCCTTTGAAAAAATGTTAGACACATTAAATTTGAAACTTTGAAAAAGTTTGATAGGTAGGTGGAAAAAAGTTGGGTGCACAAATTATTTTTGAAGGTATTTATAATTAGTTACAAATTTATCATATTCAAAACAAAATTTTTACTATGACTTTAAATCATTCAATAAATAATAGCAGAGTTGTAAATCATTTAAAATGTTAGTTAACTTTACCATGTGAAGTTATTTTTTTTTTCATATGAGATGCATGTGTCATATCATAAATATCATATTACAAAGTGGTCTATATGATATTATATTTGTAATTGATAATTTTAGAAATATTATTTATTATATAATAGGTTCTGAAAATAGATTTAAGACATTTAAAACTATGTATAAAAAAAATAATTTAAAGTACAAAAAAATATCATATAGTATATAACATAGGTAAAACTCCACGTATAAAAATATTAGACGTGACAGTTAACTGCCTTAAATGAAATTGTATATAAAAAAATTCGTCCAACAAATCCACCCAACAGGCTGAATAACAAGATTCATCTAGTGAGTGACAGGTTGGGTTACGCACAACTTATCCCTACTCAAAGCCGGCACAGCCTGGCCAATAACTCAGGCCAAGCCCAACCCAAAAAAAATTCGAAGGCCGAGCCCACCACGGCCCATAGACACCTCTAGAGTCTAAATACAAGTTTAAATCTTCTTGTCCTCAAAACGACATTTTTGTAGACTAAGAAATCCACCATTCACACAAACTAGTGAATATGGATTACATTTTCATTTGTGGTATGAAGAAAAAGAAGAAAAAAAATCTGAATCTAATTTTCGGTAAAAGCATAGCAAAGGAAGGGCTATTTGGATCCAGCTGCTTACTCTATATAACTCAAAGTTACAAGTTCCTTAAGCACAACAGAGGTTTAACAAGACTTGCCTACAACTCCATTTTCTTTTCTTTTCTTTTTTTTACCGATAAGAAACAACAATTTATTGATAATCAAAAAATGCTTCTGGTGCAGCATTTTCCCAATTTTTGAATTTCTCCATGACAATATCAGTGAGTGAAAAAAGTGTTCAGAAAATTCATGTTTTGTGTAAAATTACTATAAATGCCCACAAGAACCAATAAAATGCCCTGTTCAAAGAGGCCTTCCGGGTTGATCTACTTAGTTTGTCTAAGCCCAAAGACTTCTATGAGCTATAGATTTTGAACTCTTGCTGGCTTACCAAAAAATCTTACCGCAAGGAAAAGTAAGAAAAGAACCTACTTTTTCCAGTGCGCATCGTAATATGCCCTGCATAAAGACACAAGAAAGTTCATTCCAATCCATCATGGCAACGATCAAGCCAGGCATCTTTTTATCTGTAATGAATTGGTATAAAATCTACTGTAAGTTACATAAAAGCAAATATAAATAGGTTAAGAGGGGTTGCAACTCTCAATACAAAGTGGTTGTTTTGGCCCTTGATATCATTGTAAAAACCGAAGACATGAAGTTGTTGTTCCAGTTTCCTTGCTGCTCATGTTTCTGCTTCATTAAGCAGAAGAAGAGTAAACCAAAAGAGAAGGATCCAAAGGCTGCATGAGAGATGCAATTAGCTGACAACAGGAGACTCATGAAATATGAAAAAAGGGGTCATGATTTGTTAGCAGTTAGCAGTTCATATTTTCTGCTTCCTCGTTGTCTGCTCATTTCTCAAGGAATACAATAAGAATTGTACCTATCATCTCCATCCAAATTGTTACCATGGCCCCTTTGATGTCTTCTCCTTTAAAAATTGTTGATGTAATGATATTGTATTGTTAAAAATCTTCAATTGCTCTTTTTGCTTTTCTCTCCACTATCTTTGGGTGCCAAACCCATCTCCTGCATCTGATGTTCAACCGAAACCAGGCCTGTCTGGTCAAGAAATCTGCAGGAAAATCCAATCACAATGCATTAGGGATCCTCTAGAATAAATATCCACAATCGCGGTCATTGTTTCGAATTTCGTTTTGGTAGTTTTCATACGTTCAAAATACAAAATATATTGAAAATCACAATTATGTTTTGCAGATGACTTGTGCATGTCCAGCTATGGTGATATGCACTCTGCTTATGTGCTGCATGATTCTCTTGAACACTTTGAAGCCATTTCTGGACTTAGCTAACCCTTCTAGAAGCCAGATTTTCTTTTCTGGGGTTTCTGAAGAGGTTAAGCGACAAATTAAGGACTGTTTGGGGTTTGATGAGGGAAGTATTCCTATTAAATATCTTGGGGTGCCTATTATATCCACCAGGCTTAAAGCATTAGATTGTGGTTTTCTTATTAAAAAGGTGGAAATGAAAATCAAGAGTTGGATTTATAAATCCCTCTCATATTCTGGGAGAGTACAGTTAGTTCAAGCAATATTAAGCAGTATGTGACCATTTGGTGTAGTCATTTGATCCTTCCTAAATGTCTTGAAGAGGATTGAAGAACTTTTAAGGGTTTCCATCTGGTCTGGACCTGATCTAAAAGCTACCAATTCTAATATAGCTTGGGAAGAGCTCACCAAACCAAAGAAGGAAGGGGGGCTTGGTATTGAAAAATTGACTGAGTGGAATAAAGCCTTAATGTTGAGGTACATTTCGAATATTTTTACTGATGATAGTGGTATATGGACTCAATGGACTAGGGCCAATTACCTGAAAAACAGAACCTTTTGGGAGGTGAAAACCCCTCACATACTTGTTCTTGGAATTGGCTGAAAAAAAGTATGGTTAGACCCTTAATTAAACATGTTATTGGGGATGGGACTAATACAAGGTTGTAGTTTGATAATTAGCTTCCACAGGGGGCTTTGCTCACCCAGTGGTCACATATAGCTGTTTATGATTCTGGTTTTCCTTTGGGGTCCTTAGTTCCATTATCCAAGACAATCAATGGGGTTGGCCTGTTGCTATTTCTGATGAACTTAGAGAAATCCAAACTGCTATGCTTGCTTACCAACCATGTGCTGATAGGAACGATGCTATCAAATGGATTCCATCACTGCAGTGATGGTGGCAGCTGAAACATCTTTACTACAGTTGGAATTCTTTTTGGAGCAGGAGTGGCAAGGCTGGAAAACAAGTTTCGTGTGAAAGAGAACAGTTGTTCATGGATTCTTGTTTTGTTTGGTATAGTTTGGTACAAACTAGGCTTTAATTTTCACCTAGGGATGTCAGTGGATGGAAAAAAATAAATATTCATCCAAACCCGTATAAGCCATATGTATTGGACGGTGAACGTATATAGAAATATATGTATAACCCGTGCGGAGAAGGAGGCAGGGATGAACTAAAACTCATCCCCTCCCTATCTCGGTAAATCCATGATATATATATATATAATATTAAAAAGATCCACCCTCCAATCCACTTATTAATACATATATATATATATAATATTACAAACTCCAACCACCCACACACTTTTCTCTTTACCCAAAAAAAAGAAAACATTTTACTTTCTCTATTTTTTTTTATCCATTTGTCATATAATGTTGACCAAAAAAAAAATTGTTATATAAAAGGGTTTCTTCCATTAGTGAGGTTTTATATATTTTTTTTTCAATTTTTTTCTTAAAATCATAGCAATTATTATGGATGAGAACGGTAGCTGGGACGGGGGTCAAAGTTTACCTTTGGGGCCGGGATTAAAATTTCACAATTTACCTGTGGGGCGGGGATTAAAATTTTCCCTACAAACAGGGGTGAACCGGGGTTGAACGAATATTTTTGAAATGAGTACGGGAGTAGAGACTACTCCCCCCGCCCCTGCCCCGATCAACTGTCATCCCTGTTTTCACATCAGGGTGTCTTGACCTGAGATGAAAAAAAAAATTGTTCAAAGGGATTTTCTTGTTTTCCCCTTTAGCTGTAAAGCTTTCATTTCCTATCTGAATAAAATCCTTTATTTACCAAAAAAAATACAAAATACAAAATATAAAGGCAAGTTTATATGAAGATGCCTTTATTTTTCTCTTGGTCTGCATAACACAAACCGCGCCTAAATTGTGACATACAAAGCATTGACTGAAACATAAGCTGATAATAATTACATAACTAGAAACAAAATTAGCTCACATTAACAGCAAATCAAAACACTACCCATCTCCAATCAAACAATATAATCAAATATACACAAAGATCCAGCTAAACAAGTAACCAATTCCTGAATGCTATCAGCAATTACACAACTAGAAACAAAATTAGCTCACATTAACAGCAAATCAAAACACTAACCATCTCCAATCAAACAATATAATCAAATATACACAAAGATCCAGCTAAACAAGTAACCAATTCCTGAGTGCTATCAGCAAAAACATATATAGCAATTCATACAAGTGCGCACAAGTACATGTAAACAAAAATCCCCACTGAACTAAGACTCGATCTCACTTCACCCCTCTATACTTTTACTTTTACGGTTTCACTTAACCCTTCCAACTTGTGAACAAACTACAAATGTAATTCAACTCAAGATTGCAAATATCACCCAAAAAAAAAAAATGTCATACCTGGTAAGAAGCAAGAACAGGGTCCCAGTGATGAGAACAAGGAAGGTAACATGAAGTATCAAAGCAGAGTCACTAGCAGAGAAAGCCAATCCCAACATAGCAGCTAGACACAGACTCAGCATAAAAAATGCTATTTTTAGGGTACTCCAGGTTGGACCCTGAAATAGAAACAGCGAAAGATCACTTCTATGTTAGAGGGATTTTAGGGGGTAAAAATGAATTGATGGTAGAACGGTTAACTTGTACGGACGTTAACTCCAGGAGCAAGGGCTCCAAGTAATACTGCTTGTGCTGATGATACATCTTCCCCATCGACACGTTTGACTTCCTCCATCTTTGATGGATTCAGATCACCAAATTCCAGATTCTGCTGTGAAGAAGTGTGTGTGAGGAGAGAGAGAGAGACTGTCGATTGTGAAACTTGACTCAATTGTGAAACATATACAAGTCCAATCCGTTCAAATATAAACCTTCGACAATTACGTATTAGGGTATGTTTGGACTGGGGTTTAAAGGGAATAAATCGTGATTAAAAAAATCGGTAGAATTACCCCTAAATTTTTCGAGGTTTCATTTACTCATTCAAACTCTTAATTTTTCAAATATTATATACGGACCTTTTGAGATTTATATGTGGGTAACACTTAGACCTTGTCGTCAAATGTTTGTTCAGACTCCCTAAAATTTGTAGAAGTATAATAATAACATCCCTTAAATTTAAAATATTATATTTAGATAAAAAATACTCGAATCAAAGATAGAATATAAAAGATTTCAAATTTTATAACTAAAATTCATGTTTTATTGTATCATTATTGAAATAAAATCAAAAATAAAAAGTCAATATTTTAAAAAGAAATCGTAATTAGTATACAATTATATTATCTATTGGAATAAAACTAAAAAATCAAATAAGATGTTTAAATTATTCATAATAAAACATGAAATTTTACGATCAAAATTTATATTCTATTATGTCATTTATTGAAATAAAATCAAAAATAAAAATATAATTTTAAAAAAAAAATTATATTTAATATATAATTATAGCTATTGGAATAAAACTAAAAAATTAAATAAGGGGTCAAACGATAATGAACACAATATATTTTAGTTTTCATTGGGGTAATTTAGTCGTTTAAACAACTAAATTAAATTCTAATAGATAGTATAGTTATATATTAATTATAATTTTAAGAAAAAATTAGATTTTTATTTTTAAATTTTATTTCAATAAATGTTATAATAGAATATTAATTTTGGTTATAAAATTTAAAATATTTGATATTCTATTTTTATTTGTTGTATTTTGTGTCTAAATATATCATTTAAAACTTGAGGGATCTAAGTATTGCATGCCTACAAATTTAAGGGGTTCTGGATGTAATTTACTAATAGACATTGACGACGGGGTGTAAATATTACGTGCGTACAAATTTTAGGAGGTCTGTATGCAATATTTCAAATGTCATGAGATCTAAATGATTAAGTGAGGGGGATTTGGATCCCTTATATTACCTTTTTCCTTCAATTCCTCTAAATACAGTGCTAGATGAGTGACATATATAAAATTTTAAATACAGTGCTAGATGAGTGACATATATAAAATTTTGAATTTCAATAGACAATTTTTTCCTTGTAAGAAAATTCCTTAATAATGGTTAACACTCCACCAATAATAAAATAAATGAGAAAAAATCATGTCAATTGAAATTCAAAATCTTACACATGTCAGTGATGTCACTTATTTAGCACTACATTGAGGAAAATTCAAGGGAAGGGGGTAATGGAGATGATCTAAATCCATCCTACGGTAAGTAAAAAATGTATTAGAAATCCTATTCAGATTTTATCCCAATTCAGTTTGAAAAGTCAAGTTTAACCAATTTACATGGGTTAACTGAAATCCAAGGGGACTAGCATTTTTTTTTGGTTAGGATAACTAATGCAAATGATCGAACTATCTTGTTCTCTTCTCTTTCTCTCTCTCATTCGTCTCATCCTCCTATTTTTTTAAAAACCTAATTTTTTTTAATAAATCTATTTTGTCAAAACAAGGCTCTACTGACATATATAAAGACCAAAATATCTTCTTCAACAAAACAAATAATTTAAATAATAAACTAACTCTAATAAAGAAATATCTTATTTGGACTAACATTAATTAACAACTAATAATAAAATAACTAATTAATTAAAACTTCAGTTAATTTTCAATAGTCCTTGTAACATATGAAAATCCGTCTAAAGGGCATGAAATTATGAGATTTATTTAAAAATTACATGTAAGAAAATTTTATTTGAAATTGGTCAAAAGACTAATTTATAAATCAAACATGGTGTTAGATTTGATAGATTAGAGGCAAAATAGCCAATGATACCATATTTCATCTCCCTTTGTCATGGGTCCCATTGACATTAAATCCCAACGAGTCCAATGATAGGTGGATTTGAGTTGGATAGGAAATTATATTTTTTTAGATCATCAATCCAGTCCAACATTGTCATCCAAACACACCCGAAGGGTATGTTCGAATTGTGGATTAAAGATGGATAGCTCTGGTAAAATATGATAAAAAAAACATGTAGAGCACATATATCCCATGTTTGGTAAGTAAAAAATGCATAGAAAATCTCATGTTGATTTTTATCCTGACTCGATTTGAAAAGTCAATTTTAACCCACCAACATGAGTTAAATGAAACCCAAGGAGGGTTGAGATATTTTTTGCCGAACAGGATATGTAATACAATTTATGGATATGTCCACCCTTAGGTGAGGAGATCTCCTTGGTTAATTTTGTAAACATTATATGTTGTTAATTTGAATGGTTGATGAGATGTATTTTTTATGGTTACAATGTATTTAAAAATATTTATTTTATATTTGATTGCATTGTTAAAAAAATAGATGTGAAAGCATAGTTTTTTATTCACTAACGCTATTGAGACATAATTGAGGAACATAATTTTGAGACATAATGAGTTGAAAGCTAATTTATAAACCAAATATAATGATGGATTTGATCTAATATAGATATAACTAGTTATTATCCATGTTTGAAGGCATGATGTAATAAAAAATTGTCAATCATAAACATATTTGTATTCACACTGAAAATTAAATCACAAACATAGATGAAAGATAAATAAATTTAAGTACCGATTGTAGTAGTAGTGGGCGGCAATGGTTGTGGCATCAGTGAAGGACGGTGATGGTTGTGGTGGGCTATGACTACCGTAGTGATGGTGGCAACCATGGTATGACAATGATGATGGTGTGGTGGTGGGTTTTGGGTGACGATTGTGGTAGTGACAGCTATAAGTGACGGCGGTGGTGGTGATGAGTGTGAGTGGTGGTGGGCAATAGTGATGGTGATGAGGCGGCAACGGTGGTGGGGGTAGTGATAGGTTATGATGGTGGGCGGTGACGATGATGGTGGTGGGTGACAATGAGTGCTTGTGGGCGACGGTGGTGGTGTTGGAACGAAAATTCCTATAATTATTAACTGTCTATATGTATCGAATACAAAAAAAAATTCCTTTAAAACCCTATAAAACAAAATTAAGGTTTACCTTCGAGATCACTATGGTTTGATCTCATCTGAGCAAGAACTCAAAAAATAAAAGATAAATGCAGAAGGTAGCTCGCTGAACCTCACAATTTTTTATCGTATATCCCCAAACGTCAAAAATTCGGATGTAATGTGGTCTGCAAGAACCTCCAAACTTCTACGCTCTCTTTCAGTCTCTCTTAAAACGTGAGTAATGAATTGATGCTAATTTAGAGAGTCTAGACATTTATATATAGGTTACGACAGAAACCCTAAGGAGAAATAAAAACTGAGCTTTCAATGGGATTATGATTTCTATGTTCAACTCATAACAAATATCCTACAACCTATTAATAATAAGTTAGTCTACTAAAAATTTATTACTGATCTCCTGAGCTTTATCTTAAAATTATATTCGAGCTCCTTATTATTATATGTTTAATAATCTCCAAACGTTTAAGATTACAGATGTCTATCAATTAAATAAACTATTGACAGTTATATTTAATTGACTTTTTTTATTCCTTTAGACCTTACCACTCAACTTCTTTATCATGTCGGATAATTAAATCCACCTGCAATGTTTGACATAGACAAAACTTATAAGCTTCCTCAAGAAGACATTATCAACCCATTTAAATACCAGGACATGATTTCCTTTAATAATTAATTTTCATCATACAAATAATATCATCTCTCAATTCACCGAGTTTATTGACTCAATATGAATATCATTTTTTGATGAATTAAAATTACGAATACTATATGCACATGACAATTAAATATTTTGGGATTAAGAGTATAAGCAATTATAGTAATCATGAAGTATTTATTATCTTACTAAATCAATAAAAAAATAATAACATCAACATGAGTCTGTTTAATATACAAAATGTACTAGCGCAATAATATGAGACATCAAACAGTTTCCTACAGTCAAGACAGACTATGTTAAAATATTATAATACAATCATACTGATGGTGTGTCCAATTTCATCTAAGATTGTAAACCTATACTCATATTATACAAGGATCAGATAATTTAGTTTTTTGTGTATAAGCCAAACTTTACACACCAAATTATCTATAATATAAAATATAAGACACATATACATACCATATATTAAATATAATGCAAACATTTTGCCCATATAGATTTTCAATAAAATGAAAAAATAAACTTCTATTAATTAATAAAATGAGTTTTACTACAAAAAATAAATTTTTAGTATACAACTCTATCAGATAGTGGGTGGTAACGAATGACAATGGTGGTAGTAAGTGTGATAGAGGTGGGTGATAATGGGTGGAGGCGATGGTGGGCGACGACGAGTGGTGGTGGGTTGTGATAATGGGTGGTGGTGTGCAACGATAGTGATGGTGGATGGTGGCGGTGGGCGACAGTGGTGGTGGGATGATGGTGATAATGGTAATAAATATAAAAATGAGATAATGATAACGATGGTTGGTGGCAGTGGACGACAGTAATAACAATCGATGATAATAACGACAATGGTGGTGGGTGGTGGTAATGATGGTGGTAATGGTGATGGTGGCGGGGTGGTATGAGTGATGGTGATAGTGGTGTTAATGAGGTGGTGTGGGGGTGGTTGTAGTGGCGGTGATGGTAGTTGTGGTTGGGGTAGAGGTGGTGGCGGGATGATGACAGTGGCGATTGCAGTAGTGGTAGTAGTTGTGATGGTGGTGGGGCAGTGGGAATGGTGGTAGCAGTGGTGGTGGTGGGAGTGGGGGTGAGGGTGGTAGTAATGATGGTGGGACAGTTGCAAACATTATTATTTTTTTTTAAAGTGATTATGAGAAGTTAAAAGTTAGAGGACCTATTTTTTCTATTAAATTTGGAGAGTTAATATTAACCATCGGATTAAACTTAAGGTAAAATTTAAAACGATCTTAATTGCGAAAAGCAAAAGTCATTATTTTTTATCTTTTGAGATTTGAGATAGTTAATGAAAACAAATTAGATCACTCTTATCCATGGGCTTCACAAAAATGTATAAATCTATATCTATATTTATACGACTTATAAATGTCAGCATGTGTGAAAAGTTTTTGATTTCTTATTTCACTCTTAATTATTACCATAAAACTAATTATACCCACATATTTTCCTATCTTTCATACCTACTTGACTTCCAAAATATTAGCTAGATAAATTTTATCTCTATGACTTGGTAGATAAACTTTATCAAAATATTACCTAGATAAACTTTATCAAAATATTACCTAGATAACTTTATCTCTATGACTTGATAGATAGTCTTTATCCCTATGACAACACATTCTTTCTTTTCTATTCAATTATACAAACTCTACTAGAATTCTAATATTACATATTGGTAATTTTTAGGTGATATATATATATATATATATAAATTTTATCTCTATGACAATACATTCTTTCTTTTCCATTCAATTGTACAAACTCTACTAGAATTCTAATACCATATATTGATAATTTTTATGTGATACATATATATATACACACACACACACACACACACACACACACACACACACATATATATATATTATTTTGTCTTTCCTACTTATTAGACATAAGTCTAATAAGTAGGAAAGACAAAAAAATATATGTATATGTATAGTCATTTATTTGAAATCCTATGGTCTTATGCTCTTCTGTGACAAACTCAGTGAAATCGAAGTTGGAGTTTTTGGCATAATTGAGATTAGTTTATTAATTCTTCTTTTTTAGTTTATTAATTCCTATATTTACGTTAAATTCCTAGTACTTAATTTAATGTCAAGCAACTTTCTAAGAGATGGTGTGACAGGTCAAATATTCGGCATAATAATTGAGATTAGTTTATTAATTCTTATGTTTTAGTTTTTTAAATTGGTGTGGTAAGTCGAGTATTCGGCATAATTAAGGTTAGTTTATTAATTCTTATGTTTTAGTTTACTAATTCCTATATTTACATTAAAAAATTTAATATTAGTGTTTAGTTGTTTTATTACAACCTCTCATGAATCCAATTTTTCATTGCTCATATAACTAATATTTTGAAAACTTGTTCAAATCTCCTATAATATTGACCTAATTATTCATAATTTTTGAATTGATGGTAAATTCCAATATTTATTGAGACCAAAAATCAATCCAATAATAAATAAATTAAATTCAAATAAAACCTGAAATGGAGGAAAATAGCTTAAAAGTCAAAAGCATAACCTGTTAATAAACAAGATGCCACATAGAAACTATGCGGACATTTATTGAGACCAACAATCAATCCAATAATAAATAAATTAAATCCAAATAAAACCTAAAATAGAGAAAAAAACAACTTGAAAGTCAAAAGCATGACTCGTTAATAAAGAAGGTGCCACATATAAACTATGCAGAAACTACTTAAGACATGATTTGCCTTTTTTTTTTTCTCTTCAATCATCCACACAGAAATCTTCTAAAGATTATATTAACAAGTCTAGGAGAACAGTAAACAGAAACGTAAATCATGAATGAGAAAATTCTACACAAGAAATCATAAACAGGGCCTTAAGGATCACAAATGTGGTTAACATAAAAATATCTAACATAACATGGTAAGCACCACATAAAAAATTAATTAACAGAATCCAAAAAAAAATTACTACAGAAAAACATACTAACACTCTAAAAATACTTACGAATTAGAAATGACTAAAACTGCAATTTATAGAGTTCACATAAATAAATTCATTTAATAAAAATTTGTTCATGATCAATGAATAAGCAAGACTAGAAAATTAACTTACAGTCAAACAATCTCAAACCTATTTGTTAAATTTTGTAAAAGAATGATTGAAATCGATTCAAATCTTAATACTCTGTAATCATATTTATTAAACTTAATTTTTCATTACTCATATTCTATTATAGCATTATAAATAAACATTGTATGTTCCAAAATTCGTTAATCTAACTATAAGAAAAAAGATTTTAAAAAATAATTAAAGTTAGGTACCACACAAAAAAAAAACATTAATGTACTATGTACCATGTTTTTGAGTATTTTTTTTTTATTGGCTAAAATTTATCAAATTTTGAGATTAAAAGAGAAAGTATCTTTTTTCTTGGTATTTTAATTATTCACTTACCTTTACAAAAAAATAATTCAATTTTGTTACTCATCAACTGTGTATTTCAAATAAATTTAATAACAAATTAATGAACTAAATTTTTTTCACGTGCAATTTACGTGTGCATTGCTAGTATACCTAAATAGGGGCAAGAATTGGATATATCAATCCATATTCTATTTAGATGGCAGCTGGGTTGATTTGGATTAGATAGAAATGATATTTTTTTTAGATATCCAATCCACTTCATACTTGTCATCCAAACATAGCCCAAGTCTCATAGATTTAAGGGCAATCTTAATCGGAACATTTGGGGTATGAATAAAGTAACAAAAAAAAAAAAATTACATTTGGGGTATGAATAAAGTAACAAAAAAAAAAATTACACTATATCGACTTGTTTATATATCGGTTATATATGATTTATATAAGACACGTACCCAATATGACACAATTCGTTAGACATAAATTAATAAACGAATATAGTATGAATGACTATTTTTTGACACGAATCCTTTAAAACTCGATATAAACGCACTTCACTTAACACGATTGATAGACTTAATTGTAACAATTAAATTGACTATGGATCCCAATATTTGATGGAACTATCACCAAAATTGCTATGTGGGTGGTAAGACTCGATTCAGATTGTGAGATGAAAAAACTTATATTCATCTTCCAACGGTCGACTTTGCTCCGGTGAGTTACACTTGCCTCCTTCGAATTTATGTTATAATCTCTGCTTCATTTTGCTTGGTGGTTTGAAAATTTCAATCAAAATAATTGATTACCATTTGGTTATGAGTTTGAATCCAGATATGATCTCAATTCTAAAATATAGAAATTTACGACTAATTACATCATCTCTCATCAAAATTTTTGAGTCTCGACGAACGTTCAGTAGTCCAATTAGCGCTGTTAACTTTCCCATGATTATCCACTGCATTCTATCAATTTGTCTTGGTCTCGCACTCTATCCCAATGTGAGATTTGGAGACTCACAAAGGGCACTGATGTGTTAGTTCTTACCTGATCATCAGTCCCTCGAACCTCGAGTCACTTGCATCAATGAAACCTGTAGAAACCCATCTCTCAAATCAATCATTTGGGCAGTTTAGATCAGTAATAAGATATGGTGGTTGGTCACCAAAGTTACATGTGAGAAAGGGAAGTCGTGTGCCTGGACCAAGCGTCAAGTGCTCTAAAGGAATACCATTTCAATGTATGCTTTGATGAATCAAATACTTAGAAACCTTAGGACTATGCTCTGATGAGCCAGTCTACAAAGAAAAACGATACTTGCTGTAATTCGACTTCTTCCAAACTTCTCAATCGAGAATCTAAAACATTGAAATCACCTCCTTCGAAGTAAAGAACTTGAGGGGGTAAACAAGGTAAAGCGGCTTCCTTTGCGCTTTCACCTCATAAACTCAGTAAAGCTTTATTAAACAAATGAGTAACTTGACTGTGAGAAAGAAGGTGGGGCACTAAAAAAATGTTTGGATGCATCATTCTATATAGAACCTTTCAGGGTTCTTCGAACATCAGAAGTAAGTATTTGTAAGCCTACTTTACAAAAAAAAGAAAAAGTACTGAACCTCCATAAGACAAGAACATATACATGTACACATACCGTCACAATTAATTTGTCATCGTTGTTGGATAGTCCAAAAAAAAAGGAAGAAGAAGAGCTCCATTTTAGGCAGGTGCACATTCGTACACTAGTTTAACTCACTGTTATACAGGGTATACACATATACATAGAGACATCTACACATGCATGTAAGCTATCTGAATTTGACATTACAGGCTACATGGATGCAAACTATATGCAAAATCAGGCATCCAGTCACAGGAAAATGCATGTTTTTTTATTTTTTTTTTTGTGGGTTTCCATATGATATATTCAATTCCCCATGTACGTAGGACCTCTTAGTTGAGCATCCCGCTGCAATTGCCATTCTCTTTCTTTAAGATATTGCAGAAGGTGTGGCTGCTCAGCTTCCAGGTCTATACCTGCAGGTCCTGTACCACATCCATAAGGGGATTGCCTTTGGTAGCCAAGAAAGAGTTTATCCCTGTTTAGTTCTTCCAGATGATAAACAGGAGGTAAACCTGGATGCGATTCTGGGCTCTCCAAATATACCATCCGGCTTGAAACCAAAGGATTTCCCCATCGATTAAACAGATCAAACCTTGAAGTGTCATGACCATGAAGTTTCCAATATGTCCAGGTGGATTGACTTGAACTGGTTGAACATGGTTATTAACTAGCTCGTGATTGCGATTGTTTGCATACTGATAAAGCCATTCAGAAGAACTCATTCCAAAAATTGGTGGGTATCCACCAATGAAACCTGGTACGGCAGGACCAGAATCGAATGGTCTATGTGCTACAGACAAATTTGAGTATCCACCAACAGGTGATGCACCAAGAATACCATCAGCTTCCTTAATCCCCACTGTGTTTTTGCTCTCAGAAAAACTTGAATTGCTCCTGAACCAAACAGCTTCATCAGGTAATAAAGGGGCAGAGGGCACTGGAGCCACATATGGAGAGGAGTTGTTGCGGGTTATGGGAGAAACGTGCCCAGAACCAGTTGCATTGTCCTTAGCTTCGCTGATGGAGAGAGCATTCAAGGATGCAGAAGGTACTTCCTCAATAGGGCTCAACAAATGTTTATTATAATCCATTGTTCCTTTCTCTCTTTCAAGGTTCTGACCGCTATTGAAGACCCAACCACTGAGCGAGGGAGGTCCTGCAGGATATGTTGCTGAATCCTTCAAAATAGGTTCTTGCTGCTTCAATGGCTTGTTGAATCTAACATTAGAGGTGTTTGAATGAAAATTGAAGGGATCAGTCTGCAATTGGTTTTGTGCTATAAGCAATGATGTGGCACGGCGCAAGCATTCATCAGAAGGTGCTGCATGCTCCTTTGTACCTTCAGTAGAACTTTGATCATTTGTGGTGATGTAAGTATGAAGTGGTTCTGAATTATATCTTGTGAGAGGCTTGAAGAGAATGACTTCCTCATCTTCCACATTGAGAGATTCAACATTTGTACTAGGTTGTTTTTGATGCTTCCCATTGACTTCTTCCTCATTTTCTTTTGTGGTTCCACATTTATGCTGATGGGGCTGTTTACCTTCATGAGAATAACTGCATGCCGCTACTTTTGTTTCTCCTTGGTCTTGAAATTTCACTGACTCTGCTGTATAGAATTTTCTTCCCAACTTATCATAAAAGATCCACTTTTGAGAACCATTGGATCTGGCCACCAATTTCATCGCAGCATGAAAGATACGATGGACACGACACACATTCATACTATCAAAATTGTCCATACAATCCCCATGAATAGTGAAATCCAATGGCAGATGTGATTGGGCCACGGGGGCAAAGCCCCTCAACTTGTACTCTCCCAAAGAGCAGTATGATAACACCTCAACTTCATCCTCATTGTTATCAAGTCGGTTCAGAAGTTCAGCAAAAGCACAAAAAAGTAAGACATTGCACAGGTAACTTTTTCATCAGCGCAATACGCTTCTGCTTTATCAAGCATGCCAACCAACCACTCTATGAACACTAGCACAGCTGGTAAAAGGGAGTTGAAGTCCAGAAGATCCGTTAGACATCTATCAGAAGGCGACCCATGCAAATGAATGTAGCCGTCCATGCCATTTGGATCAATGCAGACTGCTTCATATCCTTTTTTAAGTTTTGGATCCTTTAGTTCTGGGCCTTCAGTCGGACAATGGATGACGAAGATCAATATGGAAACAAGTTGAA